CAGGCCTCACGGGCCCGACGCGCTGTTTTCTTGGCGCGGCCGGACCCGGTAGGCCCTGCCAACAACAAATGGACCCGTTTCGGAGTTGAAACCCCCCCGCCGTGAAGGTGTGCTGAGGGGGCCCGTCCCCCAACCGGGCCGCCCGCCCGGCCAGGCCCCCCGGGACCTCCCCCGGGCAGGCGCCGGTCGGCCGGGCGGCCCGGATCCGTACTCAGATTTTTTGTGTTTTTTTTTTTTTTTTTGCTGGGACCTTCCCTGGTCCTTACACGGCTGGGCCGCCCGGGAAAAAAGCAAGGTGACCCGGGCGGCCCGGCTGGTAGTGTTACATGCTGCGCCTGCAACATGCTGCGCCTACAACAAGGGCCATTTTCACGCCCCGTGTCGTTTCAGCCTGAAAGCCTGAAAACAAGGGCCTACAGGCCCTGTGTCGTTTCAGCCTGAAAGCCTGAAAACAAGGGCCTACAGGCCCTGTGTCGTTTCAGCCTAAAACAGGGCCCTCCAGGCCCTGAGTCTTTTCAGCCTGAAACGGAGGGCCATTTTCAGGCCCTCATAAGATCGACCTGCCCTGAAACTTAGGCACCAGACCAGGATATTTTAGCACAGGCCATTTTGGGCCTGTTTTCAAGACAACCTTTGTTTGAGCTTCAACGCCAGGGTCTGGCACATTTTGGCATTGGCAAGAGCAGCCTCCTGGACGGGCCAGCACTATATAAGACTGGCCCGCCCTGCAGGCTGCAGGTAGTTCATAGGGACTTCCCAGGCACTTCACGTGCCATTCAGGAGGCAGGAGGAAGTCTTCAGGATTCGGCAGCAGCACTCTGGAGGAGCGCTGCAGTAGTAGTAGTAGTGTTAGCAGTAGTCTTCAGCGCTGGGCGCTATTATGAGCTAGAGTAGCACTGGAGAGAGATAGAGATTGGGCGGAGGCCAGGGAGACTTACCTGCAGTGCCGTAGCTCCAGCTCGTCGTCGAGGTACCTGCATCACAGCGCCATCTTCACAGGTTAGTACCTGGCACATGAGAGAGAGAGAGTTCTTCTTCCTCTTCTCAGTCCACCCTCTCCCTCTCACCCTCTCGCTACCTGACTTCACTGCATCAGCAGACTACGAGAGAGAGAGGATCGATGACATTTGGATCCAGACTTGACATTTGGCTTCAGACATTTGGCGAGGGATTATCTGGGACTTGTACCGAAGACTTGGTGTTAACAACATTCCCATCTTCCCCCCTCTTCTTCCTCTGATCTCCTCCTCCTCGTCTGTGTATGATCTGGACCTGGCGCATTCTTCGTGTGTGTAGCGCCAGGCCCCTTCACATCTTGTGATGAGGCTGATGCATGTTTGGTCTGCATTGCGACATTGATTGGGCTAATCATTGGCATCCTAGTATTCCGCTACGCTGTCTTGTACTATGTGAGGGAGGTCAGTCCCGGTCAGGTCAGGGCTTATATCTAAGTCTTCCACTGCGCTATTATGTGCCATTTTTGTATGTATCAGGATGTACACTGCTTGTTGAGATTCCACTAGCACTGCATTGTCCATTCAGTCCTTTTCATCACATTGTGGATCCTTGGCTATATATATACATCGCCCAACTGGGCATGTAACAGGTAGCCTAGGCCTCGAGACTTAAAATGAAGTCGAATCCTACTTGTCTACCCCCTTCTTAGCTTCCTACCCTTAAAGCAAAAGTACAGCCAGTTATCGGCCGTGGGGGCCTGTCGAAATCCGAAAAGCGACTTTGGCCACCAATTTTTTGTATCGACGATGCGCCTGCGTACTATACCAATTTTTTGTATCGAAGATGCATCTCTTAGGCAACGAGTTTCTTTTCCGCAAGGCCAGGGCCGTGTACTATACCATCTTCACCTGAATAGAACGCCCAGTCATTATAGCTGTACTTGGCACAACTTTTGGTCTAGATGCAGCGATAATTACCGGGCGTTCTATTCGGGTGAAGACGGTAGTGGTTTAAGTTCCATTGCTGCTGTAGGGGGATTGCTTCCCACCTTCCACCCGCTTAATACTTCCGCTGCGCAGATGACCTTAAACCCTAAACCCTCCCAAGGCCACAAGGATGTCCCCTCCCTGCACTGAAAAAAAAATCCTCAATCTGTTATTAAAAAACAACAACAACAACAACAACAACAACAACAACAGCAACAACTTATTGGTCGTTTGTGATTGGTTGCTGCAGGAAATGTTTGTGGAATATTTGATGGCAGCTATTAATTCCGTGGTGAAGACGAATCGCACATTCGAAGATGGTGTTCAAGCTCGTCTTCAATCTTTGGACACAATCATTGCACGAAGTGCCAACGGCTGTCCCAAAAGCAAGTTTCATGCCCGTCAAACCCTAAACACTTTTTTTTCCCTTTTTTCTGTCCCTTGTCCTGAAAGCAATTTCTGCGCCCATCACACCTTTTTTTTTTTTTTTTTTTGATCCTTTTTCAAATTTTATTTATTTTATAAACGGGCGATGGCCTTGAGAAAGGTGAGATATGGTCATCGAACTGACCGGCCCTATAGGTAATTGAGGGATTGTAGTATTTCTACCATAGTTGCGGCGCATTGAGGTGCGCGCCTCAGCGCACGTCTGGCGCACCTTGCGCACCGCACTGCGCATCGCACCAAGTGCGGTGCACAAAAAAAAAAAAAAAAAAAAAAAAAAACCCCCCCCCAAAAAAAAAAAAAGAGCAACCCCTCTCTCTCTCTCTCTCTCTCTCTCTCTCTCTCTCTCTCTCTCTCACACACACTCTCACACACA